CCGTTTCCGCAGTGACCGATTTCGTTGCAGTCTTAAGCCATGACATCCCCCCCCCAGACACTTGGGCTACCAATTAAAACTGGCAGCAGAAGAGCAGCGGAGAATACGGCCAGCCAATGGGAAGAAGTTAATACTCTCTCCGAATCAAGTTGCCTCTAAATATTATCCCTCTACGTGTATTAATCTTTCATTGAACTCTGTCTAAGATTATCTTAAATCTGTGCATCGCTTATTATTTTATCCAGTTTATATATTCCTTTATCCGTTATCCGGAAATTCGTTGCGTCCATAATTTACTGTTGTGCCACACTCCACAGTCCCCACTCCAGTCCCCACTCCACTCCAGCAGAAAGCCAGAAGCTGCTGAGTAAGCGCACAATGACATCGTTCGCTTTTCCATTTGTGGCCCCCCGCTCCATCCATTCGTTAATATGTGTGTGACTTCGATGGCAGCCTCCAATTTATTTCATTCGTTTCAAATCATTGTAGGAGCAGACTCTCCCTCGCTCTCTCTCTCTCGCTCTCCCTCTCTCTGTCTCCTGCTGCTGCTGCTGCTGCTGCTCCACTGGTTGCTTGGCTTTTGTTATTTATGGCGTTGAGGGGAAAGGGAATCGACGCACTCAGCGTGTGATTCTTTATGCTGACCCAATGCCCAGTTGCCCAGTTGCCCAGTTCTATGTCGCTGCATGGGCCACTTTCCGCAGAGCTGCAGTTTCTGGCTGAAGCTGCTGCAAAGGAGCTGCCGAAGCTGTAGCTGATGCTGTGTGGCAATCATAATAATAATTTTGCAAAAGCTGCGCTCCGGCAGCTGCTGGAACAGTGCTCTATGGCTGGCTCTATGGCTCTTTGGCTCTATGGCTGTGTGGCTGTCATTCCATTATTATTATTATTATTATTCCGCTTCAACATTTTCTCTCTGCTTTTCTTTGATTTCATTTCGCTTGCACTTTTTTGTTTTGTTTGCCGCTGCTGCTGCCTCTGCCCCTTAGCTTTCAGCCATGGCCATAAATGGTTCGTAAAATTTTATATACTCATCCATAAAGGAAACAGTTTGCTCCACTTCCCATTCCCATGCCCATCCCATCCCATCCCGTTCCGAATTCGAAATCAGTCCAGCAAATAGATGCAGTATCTCCCGTTGTAATGCCCTCCCGTATGGGCATTGGGATCCCATCCCCCCCCCCAACAGCCAGCTGTCTGACGATATATGCATAATTTCCTTTTGCTAAACGGAAATCGTAGAGTACAATGGCAGCAGAAACCATTTCCGACTCCATAAAGCACGGACTATATATCCGTCCCGTCTGTTCGTTCATAAGCTAAATAGGAATATGCCAAATAATTTCAGAGTCGGATTTGATTGTTTGCTGGATCCTTTTTCCAATTGATATTCCTGCCAAACCGAACTCCGATGATATTCCACGATTGATGCCAAATACTTTTTTTTTTGTGCCGCATCGTACGAGTATCTTCCGCGTTGCCAATATTAAACGGTGGCTGCCTGGGCTTATGTAAGCAACGAATTCAATGTGCAACGTGCAACTCCAACTAGCTCCAACCAACGCCAGCCAACCCCAACTTGGCACAGAGCAGTGGTCGCGAATCGCGTCTGAAATCGCTGCTTACGTGACCAAACGGCCGATTAAATCCTAGCCTAGGCGCTGGCCACCAGCAACTGAAAACTGAATCCAAAAAAAAAAGCCACCAAAAAAGTTACCGCTGCAGTTGGAGTCCCCTCCGCACCCCCCCCTGCTCTCCATAAAGGTGCTGCTGCTGCTGCTGCTGCGCCAGTCGGTATCTTGCGAGCATTATCAACGCCCGTGTACGCAGTCGGACTGAGTTCGCTGGCCGTTCATGAACTACAAAAGCGGCTGCATTTCGTTTAGCATTGCAATTGCCTGTCCCGGTATCCGTACCCAGTACTAGTCTCGTCTCTCTCTGTCTCTGTCTCTGTGGTAACGTCGATACCCACCATCAGTGGCAGTGGCAGGCTGTCCTCGATGCGGTTGTTGGCTCTAGCCAACCACCGCCACTCGGTATGGCTATCTGTTGGATCCAAAGACGAAACGCACTGCGCCCAAAACGTGTGCGTTTTGCATTGTATCAGCCACGACGTCAATAGCCGACTAGCAGTTACACTTTAAAAGCAAACGGCTCTGCCTTTATCTACCAGAAAAATACATATAGGGAAGGGGAATGAATACAGGCATTTCCCATAGATATCCTCGAACTGTGCTCAACAGAAAGGCGGCAAAACTTTAGCCGAAAGCCAATGGACTCCGACCGCCGACATCGTTCGACATCGGCCTAGAAGTTTTCCACGCCAACTGGCAAACAACAACAACACAAAATGCAACAAAAAAAAGAGTAAAAAGACACAACATGCCCCATGCCGCATGCCCCCACACCCCACCACCATCACAGTGAAGCAACGCAAAGCAACGCAATTCGTGGCTTGTTTTACGCTGAGTTTTCTGTTCTGATAAATGGGTGCAGTGTTCTTATTTATGCATCTGGTGTGTGTGTGTGTGTGAGTTCGGCTTATGCCGAAATAATTATCCGCAGTGCATTTTGGGCAGCAAAAAAGGCCCAGACAGACAGGTCTGCGAAATGGAGACAAAATCGGAACGGGCCGCGCTGTGATTAATTTGGCAACTAATTCAAGTATTCAAGATCTGTGATCTCGTAGCACACACCCGCAAAGAACCCCAAAGAACCCCAAAAGATTCGAAGAGAAATGCTGCAACGTTTTGGAGACGAAGAGGAGGAGCAGAGAGAGAGAGAGAGAGAGCTACCAGTAGGCGAAGTAGTTGCAGGAAAGTAGCTTGGGGAGGGGAGGGAGGTTCATGCATCGAAAGCGCTTACTCATCATTATCAGGCATCAGCAATCAGCTGATTTGGCGCAACAAACACGACCATTACCATTACGCTGGCGATTAACCCCGCACACAAACCAGAGCTAGAGTCAGAGTCAGAGCCAGACGCAGAGCCAGAGCCAGCAACTGGGCCAGAGCCAGGCCAGAGCCAGGTCTCTGTAAAAGCAGCTGGAAGATCATGCGATCATGATTACCAAACCAAACCAAACCAAGCCAAGCCAAGCCAGTCGAGCGGGTAGACCGGGCCAGGCTTGGGCCAAGTGGAGGCGGGTACGCGGCGACGGGAGCACCCGACCAAACCAAACCAAGACAAGACAAAGCTGCCAGACAGCCAGCCAGCCAGCCAGTCCGCCAGTCAGCCAGTCATTTGGGCGCTTGGCAACAAACACAGCTCCAAAGAGAGTACAAGACACTTCAATTTCGGATTCGTGTAGTAGACAAAATTGAGGAAACCTCGAAGCGCAGAAGCACCCAATTGAGGGCCCAACGAACAGCAGATGCCCTTTCCACCAACTGCACTCCTGGCTCCTGCCCTCACCGGCTCGTATCACCACGCAATGTGGTGTTAGGGCATCCAATAGTCGTGGCTTTTGGGCCATGCACTGTACCCAGCTGGGGAGTCGTAACGGCTCGTGAAAATCAAGTTGGGCGACTTGCAAAAGTGTCTTCATAAATCAGTCAACGCTCTCGGGGTACCAGTACCCAGTACCCAGTACCAGCGTCAGCTGTCAAGCGGAGATCGCTCAGCGGTCCGCTTGGGTTCAGCGGTAATTATCCTCTCTCTGTCTCTCTTTCTCGCTGGGTGTCTCTCTGGCTATGGCTCTACTATGTGTGTCATTATGCGGGTACTCTCGTCATGACATGACACAAGACACACAACACACAACACAACACACAGCACAACAACTCTGCAACAGGCTAAAAGAGTTTGTTGGCCCTCAAAAGCGACTTTTACCCAGGCTGAGAGCTGAGGTTTTGGGGCCATAGAGAAAGGGGTGGGGGGGGAGGTACATTTGGATGGGTTCGTTTGGGTCTTGCCATATGATTTTGACAGCCACAGCCAGAGCCAGAGCCATGGGCCTGAGGTTGGAGCCAGAGTTGGGCTTTCGGCTTGGCTTGTTTGGTTTCGTCTGGGATCGTTTCAGTCAGTCAGTCAGCTGCTGAGTCAGCTGTTATAATTATTGGTAAAGGTTTTTTGCAGCGAGAAACATTTATGGAAAATTTCCACTCTTCACTTGCGGTCTTCAGTGGAGCATTCAAAGCCAAAGCCTCAGATATTCGAGTGGCAGCAAAGTTTTGGGCAGGTAAATGTACGATCATTGGACTTCTTTTTCTTTAGATTTGTAGGTGAATCTATTGCTTATTGGAGGTGCTACAGCTAGAAGGATCTGCGAACCATCATTCCAGATTCTAGAACCATCGAAATTGTCGCTGTCGCATCGTGACAGGTTTACGTAACTAATTTAGCTGGAAAAACTAGGGAATAAAACTTGAAATGCGCTGCTTCTGGTCGGTCGGTTGCACTCCATGAAACTCGATTGCCAATGAGTCTTCACTAAGGCAAACCAAGGCAGAGCCAGAGTCCGCAAGTGTATCTGAGAGGGACACCACAGAGAGAGAGATAGAGAGAGAGGGAGACACTCGATACGCGTACACTGCTAATTATTTTGGCGGGCGGGCAGCGAACGGGAGGGTGGGGTGGGGTGGGCAGCGAGCTTCAACTTCAATTGAAACGAATTTAATTAGTTTGTGCTTAATTTATGCTGCCATCGACATCGAAGCTGTCACATTGTGTGGCTGTGCTGCATTTTATCTTCTTTATGGCGCGGACACTCGAGCAGATCGGCAACGGGGGGACGTGTAGCAAATGCCGTTGGCCATTCGACACGTACCTAATTGAACCGTCCACCCACCCCCCCTCCTAAAGGAGATTCCTTCACCCAGACAGTCGTCAGCCTTTGGGAACTCCTCTCAGCAGATCCCTCACCAGATCACTGACGCGCAACAATTTAATTTAATTAACGCACCCCGGACGGACGCCTTTCCATCGACGTTGTGGCATTTGTTAAATTGTTTAATGTTTAAAAAGAAAAGCACAAACAACCAAGAAGCAGCCATTCTTTCAGTTGCGGATGCCACTGCAGTGGGGCTTCTTCAGCACAAAATCCACTACCAAATGCGTTTCTATGATTAACTTTCGTTGACGAAATATTTCCCGTTTCGGTTGTCGGCACTTTTACAATGCCTCCGCCTCTCTCTCTTACTCGTAGGGCTTCTCCCAGAGCTAACATGTGTGTTCTTATTATGATCTAAATTGTAGAATGTCATTCTACAAATCCATGCCGCGTTCCATTTAACAATTTTTGTATGTCGCAGCCGGTTTCGATGGCTCATCCAGGCTCATCCAGCTAACGTCTGCCCTTTTAGTCTAGAAATGCAAACAGCCAGTGTTAGTTACTCAGCTTTATTTAATGCAGCTTGAACAACTATTATCTTAGGCCTGATATTCAATTTAGGTCGAGCAAGGCCATAAGTTCGGAAAGCTCCACACTGTCCTCTTGCTTGAAGTGCATTAACTTGTTGTAAATGGTGGACAGACGTTGGGGTTCGAGACAGAAACAACGTACTTGAGAGTCTAAAAGTAAAGTATTCAAATGTATTATCCATATTCATATTGAGTGGTTTCACACTTACATCAAGGATGCCATCGCTGAGAGGACGATTACGAAATTTGTCGGGAAAGTAACAATTGTCGGTGTCTTCGGAGCGTTCTATATTTAAATGCTTCATGAATTTGTCACATGCCACAATATCATCTTTGCCAATTATGTTTATTGGCTTCTCTAGCACCAAGAACACTGTACCGAAGGGTTTGTAAACGTTTGGATCATCCAGGAATTGTAAGCCAAGCTCAAAGTAGTAGAATAATTCCGGTCCACCAGCAATGGGCGACCAAGTGACATCAATTGAATATAAAACTATTTCACTATTTGATTCCGATTCTGCGTCGAGCTTGTAGACCTGGCCACTCTGACCTGACCTGACCTGACCAATACGGCCAACAGCTCGTTTCAGATCAAAGTCAAACAAAGCGGCAAGCAACTTTGGATCGACAAGTCCATTTTGCACAGCGAGATGGCGCACATTTCTGCCAGCCTTCAGCTGGTAAATGCCGCCCTTTGAAACTGTGCACAGCTTATTCGGTGTAATCTTGAATGGCATTTTCAGCACAATCCATGGCTGATAATAAGACTTGAGAGTGTCTAAGCGAAAGTACAAAATGAATGCATAAAGCATGCAGTGTGCAGTGTGCATGTGCAAGGCAAATGAAAACTACTCACTGGTTTTGTTCAAGTCAAACAGAGTCCCCTTGAATATGGAGTTTACATCGTGGAATGCTTGATATATTTTCTCGCAAATTTCTTCGTCCACCTTAAGCCCATCATCTAAGCTTGTTACCTTTTCTAATACTTTAGCAAAGGCCTCGTTAAACTTTAGCGACATTTTAGTTTACTTTATTTTTAATTGTTTCTTTCACGGAATTTGCAATTGCAATGACAAATTACGTATGTTCCCTGTCCAGGGGATGGCATTCGATACTTTTCACAACTATCGAGCTGCAGGAATACTTATTATTATTATTATTATAATATTTTTAGCCCATACCATGCGATATATTCACCATAAATATTTGCACTAAAAATTGAACTGATCTGCCATATTGTACATTTGTCGGGAATACTGCAATTAAAAGTCCCAGATGATCGATCGTCAAATTGTTTACCTTTTCTCCTGCTCCTGCTGCAAACTTTTACGCGAACACCCCACACCCTGCAGGGGCGCAGAGACTGGCAAAACTGGTTCTTCGGCTTCAGCTTCAGCTTCGGCTTCGGCTGCTCTTGGTTGGTTCCGTTCCGGGCACTACTGGAGTTACACGCACTGTCCGCGGTCCATGGTCCACGGTGGTGTTCTGGATGACGGGGGGGACCCTTGGTCCGTTGCGCTGTTTACGTTTAGCGTGGATTCCTCCATTCCACGCTATTTGTTTTGGTTCCGAAAGGTCGGGCGGCTGGCTGGGCCACAACAACAACAAAAAACTGGATGCTCTCGTTTGTTCTTGGGCTCTCAAGATTTTTGGGCTTTGTGTTTGGCGTCGCGTTGCCGGTTTTATTTTGTTCGTTTTCTACTGCTCTACTCCGACTACCCCCCTGCCAAACCGCTCTCCACTGCTTACTCTATGTAGAAAAGGTCTCTTTATCTCTCTCTCTCTCTATGGCTTATATTTCAAGTTTTTATTTGGTTTTTAACCCATTTCTGGGTATCTCTGAAACTATGGCACATTGGGGGGTAAAGTGAATGGGCTGCTGTACATACATACATATATACTAAATATATATATATATGTATATATTCTGATATCAGGAACTCATTTAATCAGCCCAATGTAAGTCGGTTCACATTTCAGTAAAGAAAGACCCCATTGGGCGGCGGTACCTCATCACTTGCCGCTGTTCCCAGCGATTGTCGGCTACGCTCCCAAGATCCCCAAGGGCTGTCTGTGTTGCATTGTATTCCTCCCACGCTCCCGCCCTAACCGGCGTCGCGGGAGCTGCAAAACACAAATAATAAACGCCAACAAGTGTCGTAAAAACAAATTAACAGCGTACAAGCCAAACACACTAGCCCTGCCACTGCAACGCAGTGCCTGCCCCTGTCCCTGCCCCCGCTTTTAAATGAGTAAACATTATTTTAATTTATAGCATCGCCTGGGCCCCACACCCGCGCCCCACAGCACAGCAGCAGCAGCAGCAGCGGCGGACAACAACTCCCCAAAGGCAGCGGCAGCGGCAGACATGATGCAGGGCCTTGCTTTTGATTAGAATAATTCACAGACATAAACATGACATTCATTTCACGTGCAAAGTGCAACAAGAGTGGACATAATCCTGGGCGTGGAGGGGGTTCACTTTCAGGTGGAAATGCAGCTCAGTTTGGTGGGGAGTCATCGATTCATTGGGAGGGATCTCCTGAAATGCTCATGGCCCTACCCAGTCACATTTGCAAGCAGCCAATCTGTCCACTTGATGATCTCATTGATGCCTCGCCTCACAGTGCAACTCGTAAATGCAATCCACTTGACAGTAGTTCACCGATCCATTCCATTAGTAGTGCCACGCCTGGGAACAAGTCCATTGAATGGGGGGCGTCCCTTTGGGGTTTCGGCTTGGCTTGGCTCCTCCTCGAACAGTGGTGCAGATAAGTGCACACCACACCATAGAGCCACACCATTCCCTGCCAGCGAACAGATGAGCAGCCCCACAACTCATGAGCCATGAATATTGTGCTCTCGAGTGGGGGTGCTGAATATCTCTGTGGCGGAGCTGCAGCATAATTGCTTAATGCGTTCAACAATGTTTTGCCACTAAATTTAAGTCGAAATGCATCATTAAAAGAGCATCCAAAAGAGCTCCAATGGCCCTGGCACATGTGCTGTGCCGCCTACTCGTACTCAGAAGAAACTGAAGATGAAGCTACAAGCAGACACAGACACAGATGCAGATGCAGATGGATGGGGGCAGAGGCAGGGGCAGACACAGGGGCAGAGGCAGATGGTGGGGCGACATAGAAAGTGATTGCAGCCTGAGTAAAAACATGTGGAGCACAGATCGGTGCAGCCGCGTGACTCATGCGACGGCCAGATGGTGGTGCAACAACCACAACCGATGGGATGGCTCACACTTGCCGGAGCGCAGGACTACCCCCCTAATCGATCAACCTCCTCCAAGCGAATCTGTGCAAAATACTCAAAGTATACGCAAGCACCCATCAGCACCCCCAGCACACTGGCGTCCTTTTTCGACATCTACGGCTCTAATTTGAATGATTTTCCAGCCAGATGAAACTCCCACTTCTGGGCACAGCATCCAGGGATAACAAGTTATCAATTTTCAATGGGGGGAGGGGCAGGCACAGCATGAAATGGCAAAGCGAAGCGAAGCGAATACCAGGCCTATAGCTGGTCCATCTTCAATGGCGAAAAGCCCGCTGTTCAGTGTCCAGTGAAGCTCCTGCACAGCTCCTCCCTGCTTGGTGTTCCGTGCCACATACACCAGCGCACAGCTCGTCACAGGCAGAGGCAGCTTGATTGGGGCCCATCGACAGCGCTGATTATAAGTCACAGATTGCCGCCTGGGCAGCAAAATAAATTCATTTTATTTATGACAGTTGCACACAGCTCCAAAATGTATTACCCCGCCCCCGCCCCCGCCCCACCACGACCCTGACCAGGACTTGACTTTCGTCTATATTTTTGTAATCAATGCTTTTGATTTTGATTACGTGAAAAGGCGATTCAGGGCCCTACACACACCCAGAGGGAGATGTCTGCTTTGCGAGTGAGTCTATCTTCTGGTCAGCCCTGAAGTAGGGGAGGTCTGCTGCTGCCCCCCTGCGGAAGTTTGTCCAGCTAAATGCCCTTTTTGTGATTGGCTCAGCAATATGATTTGTATGTTGATGAAGTGCCCGCCCCAGCAGCAGCAGCAGCAGCAGCAACAGCAGCAGCAGGAAGCAGTTCGAGTACGGATGAGTGATGTGACTGATGGATTGACTGATGGCTGGATATAGCCAGCGCCCAACAGGAAGCACCACCCACCCACTGGCCGCCGACTCTCCGCTTGCCATCTCTCGGTGTGCCTGGAAGTTGTTGTCTGCCCTGATAAATGATTGGGGCAAAAACCCTTCATTCAACTTCCGCAAATGCAAAGTTCTCCCTGCAGCATCTGTCACAGAGCAGAGCAGAGCAGAGCACAGAAAACAGTCAGTTGTATATCTCAGTTCCGTTCAGTTCAGTTCAGTTCAGAACTCTCTCAGTTTTAAAATCTTGCAAAATTTTTAATATTTTCAACACGCGGATAGCGATGGCTAATTGCATGAACCACAGCTCCCAGGCCCGGGCACTCGGCCTGGGTGACTTCGAGGAGGATCCGCGAACGCGCGGCATTCTGCCCAACACCAGCTGCCGCAGCTTTCGCCAGCGACTGCGCGCCACCCGCAAGATGAATGTCGTTCAGGGCCTGGCCATTGCCACAGGCGGCATAGTGCTGCTGGCCGTGCTCATCCTCATCGGCATGGATGTGGCGGCAGGCGACCCCAATCCGTGCATTGCCCACCGGGTGAAGGGACTGTGGGACTCGGCGCTGACCTTTCTGCGGGTGCCCGCACTGCTGCAGCGGGTGGCGGTGGAGGGCGGACGGGCAGGGGTCAGCTTGGACGCTGCCACAGCGGAGGAGGACTGCCAGAAGACGATCGACACAGAGCGCCTGTTCGATCTAGTGGGCAAACTGGTGCTCAACCAGCAGCAGGCGATGGTCCGCCTGCGGAATACCCTAGACCGCCAGCGACAGTTCCAGTCGGCGGTGCTGATCGGTCCGCCAGGTGTGGGCAAGACGCTGACAGCCTCGGCGCTGCGCCACTACTTTCCGTGGCAGGGCAACGTGCACGCCCTCTCCGGGACACCGTGCACTCCGGGCAAGGAGCGCGACTGCCCGGTGCTGAAAAAATTCCTGGCCGAGCTCTCCGACTGCGGCCTCAACCTGCTGGTCATAGACGACATCGCGCCGTGCGACTACGGCATGGTGGCCACCTACAACCAGCTGATCCGCGACTGCTTGGAGCAGCAATCGGTGCTGGTCGTGTACATCATTGGCCTGGACGTGGACCACTACTGGAGCCAGTTTGACGCACTGCAGCGGAAGCTGCCAGCGGACACGACCATCGTAAATTTTCGCATCTTTGGGCGCGAAGATCTGCGCGACTGTCTGGAGATGGAGCTGAAGCTGGAGAAGCGCATGCTGGACAACGACGAACAGACGCGCATCCTCAACGAAGCCCAGAACAAAGCCTGCTGCGCCGGCTGCAAGGGGCTCCATGAGATCGTCCTCAAGCAGGGCCGCCCAGAGTCTGTCTAAATCTGTTCTAGCCATCACTACATATATTGTAACGCTCACTGCAATATAACGAAACAATAGAAGAGAAGCTTCCACACGGGAAATCTGTGTCCAGTGTCCCTCGTTTCCCTCAAGCAGTGAGCAGGGAGAGCAGGGAGAGCAAGGGACTGGCACCCTGCAAAGCTGTTGTGTGAATTTATTAGCATAATGACTAGAAATATTGCCAGAGTAGAGCAGCAGCAGCAGCAGCAGCAGCAGCGGCGGCGAAGCTCCTCTTCGGGTTGGCTGGCTTTGGTTTATTTGACAGCTTTTCCCGGTTCTTGCTTGGCTGCCCGCGCTGCTCATTTTGGCCGAGTTGTCGTTGTCCCTCATGACCCCAGAGCTGCCTCGTCTCTGGTGGTCCCTCGTCCCATCCACTTCCACTTCCACTTCATTCTTCATTATGTTAATAAGCGGAAAGGCAACGCGAATTCGCCTGTAATGAGGACTCGACCAGAGCAAGGCAGCGACCCGACCCGACCCGAGATCTCTGCCAGTGCCAGTGCCAGTGGCGCTCACTTGAAATCCGTAATATCCAAGTTTATTAGGTCAGGACCAAACGGCGACGAGGACGACATTTTGTTGCAATGGCGCCATAA